CCAAAACCTGCACTGCCGTTGCTGCCGAAATCATAGGAAAATTTGGGCTAGTCAGAATAAAGGCTGCAAAGGTTAGTCAGGTACCACTGTGGAATTTTCCTGACAATAATGTTTATTTTAGCGCTTCAGCAGTGGCTCTACTGTTTTATATCTGGGGGCAGAATCTCTTGCAGATACAGTGTACTACCTCTCCCGTGTGTTGTGGTGCTGGTATGTGCATTACCACTATCAGACCCACACGTCACAAAAGGGAAACAACTCAAATATTTCCCTAAGGTGGCCCTTAGGGAAAGGGACCCCATCACTGCCTCCAGTGGTAAAGCCACATTTGCCTATGTCAGCTTAAGATGGTATTACAACTGGAAAATTCCTGCCTTGTTAAAAATGCAGACTGTTTTAAAACAAGTAATATGGGTTGTTCCCAGACAAGACTATCCTCCCTGACAAGGGTTCACACTTTTCCTTGTTTTTGTCTACTTAGGAAGAGGAAAAAAAAGAGGAGTAAAGTATTAATTTTACATGCTATGGGCAGCAGGTTTGACAGCAAACCTGGAGAACTGGCCTTGCACGTATAAAAGCAAAACTTGCCTATTTTGCAGCTCATTTTTCAATACCAAATTAAGACCCAGTTTTGCCACAACACCCTGCAATTCTGTGTCATTGAAACGGAACCACGCTTGGTCTTATTTGCTGAAACAGAATAAGTAGAGAAACCAAATATAAGATTTCTAAGTTAATATCCACTGTGTATCCAATAGGACACTGCTTCCAGTTTGGCAGAAAGGTGGCTGACCTTTACACCAGCTGAGCCTGGACAAGGGAGGGAGAGCACTGACCGGCAGTTACCTCAAGCAGGCCTGGAGCAAGCCCTTGGCGGCCAAGCGCCTGCGCCTCTGCAGGACTGTGACCGACGGACCGACACAGAAGTAGAGGGGAACAACAGAGCTATAAATATAAAGGAATCAAAGGATAAGCCTGAAGGCAAAAGCTACAGCCTCTTTACACTGCAGCTGAGAGAGGTTTACGCTTCCCCCAGCCTCGGGTAGCAAAGGGCACAGCAGTTCTGCAGGACAGACAGTGTGCGGTGAGCACAAGGGAAGGGATTTAGGGCAGGAAAGCTGCCACTGCCACGCAAAATCAGAGTTGATCAATTAGCTGTTCAGTAACCCATTAAAAACCCGTTCAGCTGTGAACGACTTGGACAGCTGTTGTAGCTAAATTTGCACAGGAGCTCGAGCACATTACCTGAAATGCCTATGAAAACAGAGTAAAAAATAACCACGCAAAAGGAAAAGGAAAAGTTCCTCCTCTTCATCTTTATCCATAATCCTATGGCATGAACTGCTCCCAGGAATAGCCTTGCCCTATGGGATGTTCCCCACAAAGAGCAGAGGGGCATTCCT